GCCATGAAAACCATCTTTGCTGCATTGGGTTTTAAATACACACACACACACACACACACACACACACACACACACACACACACACACACACACATACACACACATTTATATAAATTCCCAGGCAGTTTTTATGGGTTGTGGGTTATTCTTGCATCTAACAATAGGGGATAAATCTTTCAAATATACAAGTATATGACGGTACTTCAAAAAGTTTATGGAAAGATTAGTATTTTAATTCTACTTTCCCATGAACTTTTTGAAATACCCTCATATGTATTATATATGTATTTTATATGTGTGTATGTATGTATACTAAATATTTTTTAAACCAAAACATCTTGACGAACTGGACCTTTCGGCTGCCAATTGTGGAAGTTGATACTGGGTTTCTTCTATTCACTCTAGATCTAAACTTTGTTCCAGAAGAGTTTACTTAAGAGCTGGGTTTCTCAACCTTGGAACTGTTGACGTTTTAGGCTGAATAATTCTTTGTTCCAGGGGGAGCTGTCCTGTGCATCATAGTGCAGTTAGCAGCATTCCTGGCTTCTACCCACTAATGCCAGTAACATCCCCTCAGTTATGGGAACCAAAAATCTTTCCAGATACTACCAAATAGCAAAATTGCTCCCAGTGAGAAGCGCTGATTTAGAGAATGGGATGCTTACGGCCCTTATGGCCCTTACTGTCACTTTTTAAAAAAACAACTTACCTAATTCTCCAATCTAAATTAGGAGTCATTTTCTCTCATGGAACAATATACATCTTTACAGCATCAGTGACAGTTTATGAGAATTCACTTACCTTGAGACATTAGTGTCTTTCTTCTCTATTAGACTTTAAGCTCTACAACTTAATCTCTTTTGTTCACTTGTATCACCTAGTGCAGTGATTGGCACCTAATAAATGTTTGCCAAATGAAAGAACATAATTCTAAGGTATTCAATAACCTGAAGCACAAAGCCTGACTTGGTCCAAAGGGGTTTTTTTCTTTCAGGCTTATTTCAGTCTAAATGACAAAGCCAGTAAGAGAAGAAATTAGGGACATATTGAAGCTGGTGAAGGGTGTGAGCAGGGAAATCTAAAAGTTATATTATTTGGAGAGGATTCCCAAGTGGTTTTGGCGGGGTGCTGTTGAGTGGCAGTTTCATTCTGGAAACAACAGCTCTGATATGTCACTGTAGACTGAAGCCAACCTATCACTCCTGCTTTCTGAGCTCCATCCACCATTGATCCATGGACGAAACAAGTTTTTTGACCAGAGTGAGGTTTAATGCTCCATTAATTCTCTGAGGGAAAATGCCCCAGGACCAGGAGAGATGTGCCTATAGAAAATAAACCTCAGTACAGATAGCACAAGAGGCTTTTAAATGCTCCTTTTCGTGTTTTTAAAAAATGGAATTAAGATGCATATTTTATAAAATGAAAAATGACTGGCATTCTTCCCTCTGAAAATGAAAAGTAATTTAATTTGTTAGTGGTTTATTTTATTTGACAGTCTTTGTACATACTCGATTTGGTTTGTTACACTGAATTACCCTTTAATAATGGGTACAATAATGCCAGACTCTGCCCCCCAGGTTGGTTTGATAATTGGATGAGCATCATATTGTTCAAGGTTTTCATGACGATGCGGACAGAAGCTATTTGCAAAACTCCTAAGCAGGAGAGCTTTCAGCTTTTTTTTTTTTTTTCCTGGTGAAGTTAATTGCTACCTAGTGACTGATCATTCCACTAGCCCCTTTTCCTGATAATACTAACTTCTCTAATGACTGAATTCCCAGGGTGGATGGAAGGGATGCTAAAACCTTATAGCCAATAGAAAAGGTCAGGAAATCTTCCCTAGGGAATCTCTCAGACTGGACCATTTTTCTACAATTGGAAGTAAGTAAGACTGCTAATGATAGCTACCAAAGAGGCTGGAGCCAGACCACCAGAGTTCAAGGGCAACTTCACCACTTAGTGATTGTATGACCTTGGGCAAGCCTCAAGACCTCTCTTGCTTCGGGATCTACATCCGAAGAAAAGGTCAGGAAATCTTCCCTAGGGAATCTCTCAGACTGGACCATTTTTCTACAATTGGAAGTAAGTAAGACTGTTAATGATAGCTACCAAAGAGGCTGGAGCCAGACCACCAGAGTTCAAAGGCAACTTCACCCCTTAGTGATTGTATGACCTTGGGCAAGCCTCAAGACCTCTCTTGCTTCGGGATCTACATCCGTAAAGTGAGAATGATTTTAGTACCTACCTTGTAAGGTCACTGTGAAGATTCAGTAACACGGTGTGCGTGAAGTCTTAACACAATCCTGATGCACAGCAAGTTCTCCATAAATATTTCCTTGTTAGATGGTGTGTATCAGGCCCTGTGCTAAGTCTTCTCAACAACACTACTGACAGGTTGCTACCCCTAACATTTCAGAAGGGAACACTAATATCAAGAAAGATTAAGTAACAAGCCCAAGGCTGGTAATGGCACAGCCAGAATTAAAGCCTGGGTCTGCATGACTCCAAAAATCCTCTTACACCATACGACTTCAAAGTTTGTGCTTGTGTACCCCCTAGAAGGATTTTGGAAAGGTATGTGCTTTCCTGAGCATTTTTAAGTAGAAAACTAAGCATTTCCATTATAATGTTAAATAATTGCAGAAAATGTGATTTCAGGAGAATTTTAAACATTGCCAGTTTAAAATAAAACTGTTATATCACCTCTTTAATTCATCCAATGGAATTTAAATACCATTGTAACTGGATACCCACCAATACCCACTAAAAGAATATCTGAACGAGTTCTTCTTTAAAAGTCAGAAACTTTATGTTGTTCTTTTTTCTTCTTTAAACATCTCTTTTCACTGCACTTCCCCCAAATAAGTGTTAAAAGTCTTTTTTGATCATTTCTACACCAAACATAGATATAGATAGATTTTCCCTCTATGAATATTTTATTGTCTAAGAGTTTAAAATTCTCATCTGGATCTAATTATTGCTATGATTATTAATAGAACACAATTCACCAAAACAACATAACCACGTTAATTCCAACAAAAAATGATTATATGTAAAAAGTAAAATTTTATTAGAAGTGCATATTAGAATAAGCTGGGGTAAGCATTTATGGGACCCTGATTAAAGGTATTGTCCAATTGCCCCTCCCAGAAGCATTTCTGTCTTGCATAGTACACCTTAGTAAGCTCCAGCATGGGTGAAGGTATGCCTTCCTTGTCTTTCTTCTGCAAAAGGAAGGAGCCCCTACACTGTGTTATCTCCTGAGATGATCTGATTTTAGCAAGGAAAATACATGGAAGTTAGGGATAAGGAAACAGTTTCCTTTAAGATTGTTCCACAGAGTTCTTAAAGTCATCACCCACTCCTAGGGGCACAGTCCCCTCATTGAAGTTCGCTGCTCTGTACCACCAAGCTGTATGGCTTTGGAATAAGGATGTTTAAAGTAGGATCCAATGGCTCTCCCATTCTCAAGATCACCCACTCCCTCTTCCTTGAAAATGAAGCCTGCTCTTTAGCTTTATTCCAAACTTATGGTAATGATTACTGCAGAGTCACAAAGGATGTTTCTTGAAGGAAGCCCAGTGTAAAGTCAAGGTGGTAGACTTGAAGTGAGGCTGGATCTGGACTCCCCGCACCTCTCTGACAGATTTACCGTTTAGTGCCTCTAGATGGGGTAGCAGATTCACTCCAGATTCTCCACTGAGCCTCACACCTCTGGAGCCTGAACACCAGGGTCAGGGTTTCCTTACACCAAGGATGAGGTGGACCCCCAGGACTTCAGCTCTCATCGTTTCTTGTCTAAATAAGACAGCCTTGGCTTCAGCTTCCCAAAAGGGCTGGCTTTGAACAAGAAAAAGGGTAAGGGGTGTGCATTGTCTGCATCCTCTAAGCTTCTTAAGGATGTTCTGTGTGGTGAATCATAGTAAATGCTAAATAAATGCTCATTGAAGGCTTTATCTGGGGTCATTCTTTGGTCATAACATTCGTTTATGCACTTCCTTACTACTGACCTAATGAAATATGTATGTATATATAAGTGAAAGTGCCATATACATATATTTGGGGGAAGGGGAGGAAATATCTACTGAACATTAAGGAGAAGATATGGACAAGCATGGATTTAAACTGATAGCAATTTTTCGAAAGCCCACATAATGTTGATTATGTTG